ACTTCAATATGCTCATATTCTTATATGCATCTGATTGGTAAAAAGCATCTTCTCCAATATCACTAATCATGTCCTCCAACTAATCCTCCACATCATCATCACCATCATTAACCTTCTATTATTGCAATGTACTCGGCCTTGGCCTTTCCACTTCTTCTCCATGCCATATCCATATTGTATAAATTTCACAAAATCCCTCACAAATCAAGTGTTTGTATATTTCTGTAGCATTTAGTTGCCTCTCATTCAAGCAATTCACACGAGGATAATTAAACTTCCTATTATTATCTTTAGCATTCCTTTTAGAAAAGTCCAAAAACCCCTTTACCCTATTATCATACTCTTCAATATATTATTTAGCATTTATCCAACTTCGATCCACAGTTAAATTCCTAAAATGAAACTAAGTTGAGATTATTATTTCTCATTCCCATAATTTCTAATTTAAGTTAGAAATTTTCAATTCTTTGGAGAACATCTAGCATATTATTTAGAGTTGGCTTCCTCCCTATCTAACAGGTAGGAGGAGAATAGTCAACTTGACCTTGGCCTTTCCACTTCTTCCTCCCTTCTAATATAGAAAAGGGGGTCAAATAATAAGTTTTGAAAAAGTTTTTAACAAAGTCTCCCCTAAAAGTTGGACTTTGCAATAATTTTACAATTGAAAATATCACTTTCTAACAATTTTAGGAGACAACAAAAACCAGTCATGCAATCCCTAAGGACCTTTGACTTCCTCTACTGGCACTCCACTAGATTATAGAAAATAAACTAATCATTGCAAACACATTGAAATAATGTGAATATTCAAAAATCATGCTAACAAAATTTAATTAAATTTGGGCAAAGCCTTGCCTAATAATTGGTCATCCCAGTAATTTCACAATTTAACATAAATAAAGTTTAGATGGTTTCACTTAGTAAACAATAAAATATGGAAAATTAACTAATCAAGTTTATGTTTAAGTTAAAAAATTTGATTGGTTTTTGCTAGCAAAATTAACCAATTAAATATGAAAAATTAAACATAATTAAACAATCAAGCTAAAGCGTGGAAGAACATATTCAATCACTAAAGCTCAAAAGCTTTATTTTTTTAATTTAAAATCAACATCAAGCTCACAGAATGTCATAGAAGCATATTTAAGATGAAGCTCATGAAAATTAATCCATATAAATTAAACCAAAACAAAGTTCAAAGTACTTGTAAAGCTTACAGCAAGACACTAAAGCAAGGACTGAAGCTTCAAAGTCAACCACAAGTAAGAATTGAAGCTGCCAACAAGAAAAATTGAAAAGAAAAACAATGAACATCAAATGCATAATAGAATATGAAAAATAGAACCAAAAAATTGGGCTAAGCAATTGGAGTACATGAGCACGAGGTAGGGAGGGAGAAGACAAAATACTTGGGCATAAGCACGATTTTGGATTTGAAGCTCTGCGATTCTTGGTTTAATTTGAAGCCTTGTTTGAGTTTGAAGATGGGGTGGTTTTGGGTGGGAGAAGTCGAAGAAAGGAGTGAGAAGGTGACAATGATAGAGCACGAAGCAAAGACGATGAAGCATAAGGTGAAGGTGATTTTAGATTTTGATTTAGCTAGCTGTTTGCAAGATTTTGAGTGAAAGGGAGTGAAGAGAGAGATGCATGAGCAAAATGTTTTGCAATAGCAACGAACTAATGTGAGGGTTTTTTGAAAAATTTTGAAGTGTTTATAGACTGGTTATTCACAGTAACATCTCCAGAAAGCAATAACAATTAATTTTTTAAATTTAGACTGGTTTCTATGAATAACCGGTTTGGAAAGTTATTTAAACTTTAATCAAAAAATATTAAAAAGCTTTCAAAATTGGGTGTCAATAAGACTGATCTAGATAAGCAGCTAAAATATAAAAATAAAATCTTCAAACAAAAATTCAAAACTTTCCAAACTAGTTTTCCAGTTAACAATTTTAGAAAGCACAAAATTTTATTTTTTTTAAAGAAAGTCACCTTTTTTAAACTGGTTACCATGTCAACTGATGTAGAAATATTATTAAGACTGGTTCCCTATGTAACCGGTTTAGAAAGTTTTAAAACATGTTTTGTAATTATGGTAATGCCACTACCTCTTCTTATTAAACCACCTATGTAAATAATTGATTTAGAAAGTGAGTTTTAGATTACTATTTTTTCACTAGTGAGAAAAGAAACAAAACCTATTGATATACATACTCCCTCTATACTACAATATAGGGTACTGTAAACTACTTTATGTCTTTTTAAAAAATTTAGACAAAATGTTAATCATTAAAAAAAATGTATATATTTCCAAATATACATTTATTATATACCCTGTACAAGTGCCTTAGTAATAATTTCAATGCATCATTTTTTCAAAAATAATAATAAATAAAAATAAGAGTATATTAAATATTATAAAAAATTACCTAATATTTTATATTTTAAACTAAACAAGGCTTTTGGTATATATCTTATATTATGATATGGAGGGAATAAAAAATAAGGGAAACTAGGAGCAAGAGCTAAAGGAGATGAACCAGGTTTCTAGTTTGACTCTTCCCTTGGTTCGGAAGAAAATTGAAATGTACACGGCAAGTACCTTAACTTTTGATGAATGTAACAGTTTGTCCAATGCATATTAAACTTGGCCTTGCATATAACTTTTGTTGATTTGGCATACCAGTGCATTTGTGGGTTCACATTAAGACCTTGTTTGATATGAAGTATTGAGTTTTATGGGAGTGGGAATGTGATTGGTAATGGGATTGGGTTTATGAATGATAGTGTGAATATGCTTTAAAATTATGTTTAGTATGTGGTAGAATTAACAAAAAAAAAAGGAAGCCTCAGACCAAACAAAAATCAGCAAAAAAGACCTAAATGCCCTTATTTTCTTCCAATAATTGTTATGCTCAACCCAAAAAAGAGAATTGGCTCAAATCAAAAATGAAAACCCATGAGAAGAAAAGCAAAGCCATGGATTCAAACTCACGAACTAGAATAATTTGGATGGATTATATTAAATATGTAGATGGTGTGCTTATTGCTGTGGGACTGTGGTGAGGCTTAGGCAGACAACCTTGGTAGAATAAGCTTGGCTAAGAGAAGGGAGGTAGCTATGGTAGATTGAGCTTGGCTAAGAGAACATTGATGAGGTAGGGGTTCGGTGTAGGGAGACAAGAAGGTTGATGGGGAAGGCAATTTGATTACAAAGTAATCAATCTTAAGATTGCTTTTCCAATACCATGGGAGTGGTGGTATTGGGTAATCCTATATAGATGGGATTGGGATCAGCATTAAACTCCTCATTACCTCATACCAAATATAAAAGGATGGTACTAGTCAATCCCAATTTTAGTCCCTCCTTACCCGTGCTGTGTACCAAACAAGGCCTAAGATCTTCTAAAATCAATCCTTTGTTCCAAATAAAAATCTAATTCGATTTAGAGGCATTGGATATCTTTGTCAGGTCTTTAACACTTAATATTCATTATTCCCTCCATTCAAAAATATAAGGCATTTTTAACCGAATCTCACCACCCAATAAAATAGTTACCTACTTTTAAACTAACTTTATCTTTTCATATTTAATCCTATTAAATACCCTACAATAAATATAAAGTCATTTTCAATAGGAGCACTTTTGAAAGAAAGGCAATGATTACAACTTGAAAGACTAAAAATGCCTTACATGTTTTAACATCCAACTTTTTAAAAAATACTTTATATTTTTGAATAGAGGGAGTATGTGATAAAATTAAAGGAAATTAATTTTGATGGTTTAACAATGCTTGTTCTCTTTAAATATGGGTTAAATCCGAGTCTTGTGTATGAAAAATTTTCATGCCAAGAGAACTTTCACTTGTGTAGTCACTAACTAGACATGGATTATATATATAATTTAGAGTTAAATGATATTTTTATCTTTTAACTATTCATTTAAAAGCGTCATGCATCCAAAACTTACATGCATGGGTATACTTGCCATTAAAAAAAATTAATTTTAACTATTAATTGATAAATAATAAGAAAAAAGGAATATAAAAATAAAAAAAAAGACCTATAAAATTGCAAATAAGTACCTTATTAAAAAATTAATATCAATTAAGTTTTTAGAATTATAGTTGGTCAAAATCATATTTTGGCCTTCCATGTTTGTGGATAAGAAATAATATTTATATGTAATTTAAGAGACTTAATTGATATTATTATTTGCAATTTTATAGATCATTTTTTTGTTTTTAAGGTTCTTTTTTTTTTTTGCATTTTTTAAGTCAATTAATGATGGAAAAAGTTACCTATTTAATGTTAGGATACCCAATGTCAGTGCACCATTTCAAAAAAGAAAAATTGTATCATATAAAAGTTTAATTTAGGATATCAAAAGTTTATATGGTAATAGTTGAGGGGCAAAATTTATCATTTAATCCTAAAACTTATTAAGTGGTAAATCCCATTTAGACTTTAATGCATGTTTTGGTTTGGTCAGTTAAGGAAATTTTAGGGTTTATTAATTTGCTGGGTAATACTTAAGGATTTGACTAGTCATAGATTCAAAAGTTGAAATTGGCGCATCTCAACCAACCGCCCTCAGTTATAAACAATGGCAAGTACATTTATTAGTTATATATATATATATATAAAGCTTTCCAGTCCATTAAAACTATATAAGCAAAGCAAGATCTCTCGGGTATTTTTCCTGAGGATCTCATGGAAGCTCACCCATACAGTTGTCAGTCACGACATATATAAATATATATATATATATATCAGCATTAATGCAAGTCCTGGACCCGATATCTTTCTTACGTACCCTGGAGAATCAATCATTCATATACAAATTTTTTTGTTTATTTAATTTTTGGTTTAGCAGAGCGCCAGACGAGCTGAGTGAGACTCTTTCTCTGTCTACCCCTCCTATATATACCTCACGTTTCTGCCAAATTTTTCATTCAATACAGACCTCACTCTCTCTGTGTGTGCGTGTGTGTGTGCAAATTAAAGAAGCTGGTGATTCCGTGATTATTAATATTATTATGGGAATCGAGACAGAGCAAAGTGCTGTTGAGCTTTCAACTATGGCCATTTCTGATGCTCATGGGGAAGACTCTCCATATTTTGCAGGGTGGAAAGCCTATGACTCAAACCCTTACAATGAATTCACTAATCCATTTGGAGTTATTCAAATGGGGTTAGCAGAGAATCAAGTAAGTGTGTGTGCGTGTGTGTGTGTGTATCTTCATTAGAAGAAGGCGTAACATCAATAGTGTGTGTGTGTCTAAATTCTAATATTCATTCTGTTTCACACAGGTTTCATTTGATTTGCTGGAGAAGTACTTGGCGTCCAAGTGGGAAAAAGAAGCAGTAAGTTCTGGGTTTAAAGAGAATGCTTTGTTTCAAGACTATCATGGGCTTGGATGTTTCAGAGCCGCAATGGCGAGTTTCATGGAAGAAATAAGAGGAGGCAGAGTCAAATTTGATCCTCACAGAATTGTCCTCACCGCCGGCGCCACGGCAGCCAATGAGCTCCTCACCTTCATCCTCGCTAACCCGGGAGACGCTTTACTTGTTCCAACCCCTTACTATCCCGGGTAAGCTCATCTGCTCTGTATATTTTTATAGTTACATTTTTAGAAATGAGGAGTTACTGCTCAGAAATTTGTGGGGGAGAGGGGGAGGACAAACAAACAAGAGTGAAGGATAAACAGGCAATAAGAGGTGAGATGATATCACATCTTACTTTTAAAATGTCAAAACTGAAGGATATAGATTCTTTATCTTTCATTTTATATATTAATTATTAAATTCAACTTTATCTAGTTATATTTGAACAACTTAACATTCTCATATTTAATTGTAAGTCTACAAGCTCCCAATGATAAAGATGTCCTAAATACCAAGCCCCTTGTTTTGCAAAAAAAACTATCCTAATTTTTGGGATTCAAATGGTATAGTGTAGAAGCATCCCTACTGCATTTAAAGTCAGTCTCATTTTAAGCTTTAGATGTGTATGCAGTAAGGGGCATTTCTGGTCTAAGGCAAAACCAGTCTCCAACACCACTTATTAACAATATATCAACTCAAAACCTTTAATTCTCAAGTAGTAATAAAAAGCTGATCATATCCTAAAATTTTATTTGTTTACAGATTTGATAGGGACTTGAGGTGGAGAACTGGGGTCAAAATAGTTCCGATTCACTGTGACAGCTCAAGCAATTTCCAGATTACTCCTCAAGCACTAGAAGCTGCATATGAACAAGCACGAGCCATGAACACTAAAGTGAGGGCAGTTCTGGTCACAAACCCATCGAACCCATTAGGAGCAACAATTCAACGTCAAGTTTTAGAACATCTTCTGGACTTCGTGACTCGCAAGAACATCCACCTCGTCTCCGACGAAATCTACTCAGGCTCGGTCTTCTCCTCGTCGGAGTTCGTAAGCATCGCAGAAATCCTTGAATCGCGTGGATACAAAAACGCAGAAAGAGTTCACGTCGTTTATAGCCTCTCCAAAGACCTCGGCCTTCCCGGCTTCAGAGTCGGCACCGTTTATTCTTACAACGATAAGGTCGTGACGACAGCGAGAAGGATGTCGAGTTTCACGCTTATATCCTCTCAGACGCAGCAAATATTGGCTTCGATTTTATCCGACAAGGACTTCGCGAAGAACTATATTAAGACGAACAGGGAGAGACTGAGGAAGAGATACGACATGATCATCGAAGGTTTGAGAAAATCTGGGATCGAGTGCTTGAAAGGAAACGCAGGGTTGTTTTGTTGGATGAACCTAAGTCCGATGCTGCAGAAACCTACGAAAGAAGCTGAGATTGAGCTTTGGAATTGTATTGTGCATGAAGTGAAGCTGAATATATCTCCCGGTTCGTCTTGCCATTGTTCTGAACCGGGTTGGTTCAGAGTGTGTTTTGCAAATATGAGCGAGCACACGTTGGAAGTAGCACTGAAGAGAATGCGTAACTTCACGGACCAAAGAAAGAAAGCTACCGCACACAGGATATAGAAGAAAAAGAAATGAAACTCCACTAAGTATACAACATATATATTTGGGTAAGATGACAATCTAGTTTTTAATTATAAATTTAAGAATATCTGAGATTTTAAACTCGTTCTTCATACATCTACCTCTAAACATTTAATTTGTAGCAATCTCCTTCCAACCATTAACTTTAATTATTAATTGATTAGAAAATTATAAAAAAGTACCCATAATTGCAAATTTTAATTTTTATCATTTTCTATAATTTTGGGTATTTTTGTAATTTTTTAAGGTTTTTTTATAATTTTCTAATCAATCAATAGTTAAAGTTAATGGTAGAAGGATAATGCTACAATTTTAAATATTTAGGGGTGAAGATGTAAAAACAATCAAACAAAAATGAGTTTAAGATTTTAGATATTATGAGTCTATAGTTTAAAAGTTAAATTACCATCTTTACCCTATTTTTTCAATTATTTATATATATTTTTTAAATGGTTCTTGCCATTTGATTAAATAATCCTCAAATGGGTGTGACCAAGATCCAACATCCATAAAGGGGATACGAAGAAAATACAGCAGAAAAGCAGATTCATGGTTCAAGTTTTTTGTTGTTTGCTTGCTTTAGAAAATAGTTAAGCAAGTTTCCTAGAAGTTCCATGTTGTATTCTAACTAGTGTGTGTGTATAATTTGTGAATTGCAAAATATTATTATTCTTTGTTGGGGTCAAAAAAAAAATAAATGAAATTATGTTTCTTATACTTATCTTGGCATTCTACAGTCGATGTCAATGTCACGTCTTGTCGTTCCTATTATGGATATTTTTAACTGGATTAAGACAATCAATTCGACTTAATAAGATATTTAGCTTCCTAATTAAGTGTGTTTGTTGGGCGCGCATGACGATGCGTTTTAAATTGGTCAACCACGTGATGATGCTTGTTCCAATTTTATGGTCTTATTAATATTCATAATTATGTAAATAATTATTAACGTGGGCTATGTACGTATGCAAGATCATTATTATCCAACTTTTAAATTGACTCTATAAATTTATTATTTTTATATTTTTAACTTATAAAATTATATTAATTTACTCATTAACTTAAATTAGATAAAATTTAATTAAATTTGTGAGTTAAATTTTCAAATCTATCATTTTTACATTTTCATCTTATAAAATCATGTTAATATATTTATAAACTCGTTCAACAAAATAAGTATATATTGCGTAAGATATGATTCATAGAAGTAATAGGATCTGGTTTAATAGAAAATAAAAAAAATAAAAGCTAATATTAATAGAAAAGAAAATAAAAAATATCAAAAATAAGTTACCCTATTTTAAAATTTCTATGTTGAGTATAATAATTTATAAATGTAGATAGAATTAATTTTAATTATTTATATTTAAAATATATTTAAAATAAACTATGATCATATTTTATATTTTAATTATTTAAATTATATACTTTTAAAGGCTATTTATTAAAAGAGATAAATTTTTATGAGTTTATAATATGAGTCTATATTTTAAATTTATATCTCTATCACATGAGTTTAACAATCTTGTACAAGACAACAAGATTTTTTTTTTTCAGTATTAAAAAGTGATTAGCTAAAAGAAAACAAAATTGAGCTAAGAATAAGACATGCGTACTTAAAAGAACCCTTGCATAGATATTGGTTAAAGTGTATCTTTAATTATTTAATTGTATACAAGTTTTTTATTTTGATCTATTAATTTTATAAAGTGTATTTTAAGTCTTTTAGTTATCTTTAATATTATTAGTTTTATCACAAAAAAATTACATAAAACATTTAAATATTAAAATATTAAATTTAATTTTTTAACAAAGTAATAATGATTGATACAAAAAATAATTATTTAAAACCAATAGTGTTAAGATTAAAAAATTAAAAAAATATTTTATAAAATTAAAAAATTAAATTAAAATTTTATATAAAATTAGATGATCACATAAATACTTTAGCTTATATATATATATATATATTTTTTTTTTTAAATGGAGACCGCCAGCTACATCCTAAAAGGAACAATTAATAACAATTAGGTTTTTAATAAAATTTTCTGAAAAATAAGTTACAAATATTGATTTAAATAATTGTAAATTCAGGTTTCAGTTACAAATAATTCATTTACATTTTAAAAGTATTTCTAAGTTTGCAATTAAAATTTCTATTTGCAATGATTTAAATTAATTTTTACAATTCATTTTTGAAAAAATTTAATTAAGGACCTAAGTATCATTAATTTTTTTACTAAGGATTTTACTATTATTGTCCCTATTTTAAACCCATCTTGTGGTCATTACTACAGGTCAACAAGGAAAACAAGAAAGTTATATTGATCTTATTTATATGCATAATTTTTAATGTGCGTGTGTGTACGCATATGTATATGCAAGACGGCAGGATCCTTTTTTTAAAAAAAAACAAACACTAAAAAGTGATTAACTAAAAGCAAATGGAATTGAGTTCAGCTTAAGACACGTACTTAAAAGAAGTGTTGTATAGATTTTTTTAAATACGCTTCGTCGTCATTGCCAAGCGGACGTTATTAGAGAAAAGTTTTTTTTTCCCCCCAAAAAAAATTAGAGAAAAGTTATTTTACGTAAATATATTAAATCAATAAATGGGAGCCACGTGAATCTGTGAAGTTCATTTTTTTGTTTAAAAGAAAGATATTCATATAACTATATATATACAGCTCAGTGCTAACTGGTTCTGTTTACTTGTTCAATAATTTCTTTGTATATTTAAGGATGTATATTATATTATCGCTTTTAATTGTTTTAATATTTAAGGTCAGCATTATTTGGCTCGATATAATATAAACAATTGTCAACAAAAGGAACCCTATTTAACTATTGCTTGGGGAATATTCACTATTTTTTTGTCATCATAGATTTAATTTATTAACAAAATTTCTAATGGTTGCAAAGGAATTATAAATAAAGATTAATACTTGATATCCGATCAAACGCAAATTTCTTTTGCCTAAATTTAAAACTATTTATGAATACCATCGCATATTACCTTACAATATACCTAGTAACGATCATAAATTATTAAATCAATATTATCAGGATAATATAAAATCTCTAGATGATTGCATTATTACAGATTATGAACATGAAATATATATAAAATCTCCAAATATTTATTTCTTAAATTTTATATAACACATATGTCGGTCAATGTCGAATTTTCTTAGAAAAACATGAAATATTCACAATGTTGCACTAGACCTTTTTTACCTGTGATGTGGCATCAATAAATATCATTCCAACCAAGAATGATCCCCAAACAGAAAAATGTTGGAACTGTAAAATAAAAAAAAAAAGCCACACACACAAAAGGGAAGAAAATAATAAAAATAAAATAAAATCTTTTTAGCCAACAAACTATCCCAAAGAATAATTCCATTGAATTTTATAACTCTTTTATACAAAAATTAAAATCTTTTTAGCCAACAAACTATCTACCTGTGGTCATTCATCTATTAGTGTATGGCAACTAGTGTTTTGGAAACCCAAATTGGATTGGACGGTTTGATTGTTGACCACTCAACAAAATGGCTTAATTCAATTATTTGGACCACTTTTGCATTTGGATCAGGTTGACTCAAGCGATTTTAAGAGAATCGGATTTGACCTAGAAATCAAAGTGGGTCAACCCGTTGCAAAGCCAAAAAATAGAACACAAAAAGAAATTTAGTCTAAATTGCTCATATTCGTGATTTCTCGTCTCTAATCACTAGTTCTCTTCTATCTTTTCTTCTCTAACATTTGATCTCTCTTTTACGACCCAGGCTCAATCTCTAATCTTTCCTCCAGCATTTGCCTCTAACTCTAGTGATCCAGCCTTTAGTATCGAGATTAGAGCTCATGAATCGTGACATGATAGCATACCTCTAGCTCCAATGTCTTGCTTCAAGATCACGAGCTTGTGTCTACATGCCTCTGCTTCCAATTCTAGCGATCCAAGCATCTAGAATTTGGCATTGAGATCCCAAGTATCATCAACAAATTAATGTTTTATTTATATATTTGTATACATAAATATTATTTTTATTTAATTTTTATGTTACTAGTTTGATCACCAATCTAACTAGTTAAACCATGAGAATTATGACCCGTTGTCTTTTTCGATTAAATGTTCAGTCCATTTTTCAAAACATTGATGGCAACGGTGCCGCAATACGTAAAGAAAACAGAGAACAGTACAAATTAAGAAATTGGGTGTATGGGTCCATATCAGTAGTTTAGATGTATCCTAATTTTTTTGTTACTATACTTTTTTTATGTATCATATAAATAATTTACTGCAAGATTAATATAGACTCCTACTACTTAGTTATGCGGCTATATATAGGTGATGAGAAGAAAAATTTGGGGCCAATTTATGCAGCTAGATACAAGCATTGTGATGTAAAATTTTCATTTATGTATATTTGCTTTAATTTTGATTGTTTGCGGACTTTTCACAAGGTAATTAATTAATACATGCATTTTTTTGGTATTCATAGATTCAAATGCAAGCCATTATACTTAAAGTGGAATATAGCCTGTTTCGCTATCACGATCAGTACCTATTGGTTTTATGGTTGGTCCTGCAATATGTTTTTTTTTTTTTTTTTTACACTGAGCTTTTACACAATTTAACAAGGAACACCGGTGTAAAAAAATGGTGATATATTGGAGACATTTTGGTAAATAAATTAAATTTTTGGCAACCTTTGTTTGCTATAACAATCAGTGTAAAAACTTTTCTACACCGGTTTAGCATGAAATGTTCAGAAAATTTAAAAATATTATAATCACTTTTTACATTAGCTAAGTAGTTAGACCAGTGTAGAAAGTGTAAAATATTTTTAAAAAATAAAAATTGAATATATTACTTTCTACACTAGTCAAGTGAAAAATTGGTGTAGAAAGTGCAAAAATTGTATATATATATATATATATATATTTGCTTCCTATATCTATTGGTCAATTTAACTAGTGTAAAAAGTGTAACATCCTAAATTCTTAATCTGAAAAATTAATTGTTAATTATGAATAAATTAGTAAATTATTGGATTAATTAACTAGTCAAGATTTTGGAAGGTAAATTG